CCTGCTTTAAGCCATAGATGGCCTTGCGAAGCCGACAGACGTGATCTGGTTTGGCCTTATCAATAAAACCTGCTGGTTGAGCCATAAAGACAGCTTCTTGGAGAGATCCCTGGAGAAACGCATTGTTGATGTCGAGTTGTCTCAATGACCATCCATTTCGTACAGCAATAGTCAACACCACACGAATGGTGACTGGCTTCACCACGGGGCTGAAAGTGTCGGTGTAGTCCCACCCAGGGCGTTGGTGAAACCCCTTGGCTACTAGACGAGCCTTGAATCGCTCGATGGTGCCATCAGAGAGACGCTTGATTCTGTAAATCCATTTGTTGCCAACAAGGTTTTGTCCTGGATCGGGTGGTACAAGATCCCAAGTGGCGTTGGCGATTAGGGCGTCGAACTCCAGCTGCATAGCCTTCCTCCATTCAGGGTCTCGTAATGCTTGGGTGATTGTATGAGGTTCGGTGATGGGGGCGGTGGTGACGGTGAGATTGAATTTTTTGATAGGTTTGGTAATTTGATTTTGGGAACGAGTAACAACTCGCCGGGGTGGGGGTGGCTTTGTGTGTGGAGCTTGGGCGTGGGAAGATGGGCCTGGTGGTATGGCCGTTGGGCTTGGACCGGTAGTTCTAGAGGTAGTGGAGGAAGTGGGCAAAAGGGCGGTGGGTGATGGAGTAGATAGGGAGTGTGTGGGGCCAGATGAGTCGGTGGGTGATGGAGCAGCAGAAAGGGCGGCAGAGTGGGCATCATTGGCTGGGATGATGGGCCTTTCATGGACGGGGCTTAGGATGGGCAGTTTGAGAAGGCCGAATTTAGTGGTGGCCGTACAATCTGGAGGGGGTGGTTCAGCCGTTGCTTCTTTGTAAGGGAATGAATCCTCCATGAATCTTACGTGCCTGGACGTGTAGACTCGACCAGTGGTAGGGTCAAGACATAACGCAGCATGTTGATCACTTGCATAACCTATAAAGACACAAGGAATACTCTTCGGAGCAAGTTTATGGTTAGCATAGGGCCGAAGCCAAGGATAACACAAACACCCAAAACATTTTAACTTATGGTAGTCCGGACTCGTGTTGAGCAATTTGGAGTAGGGTGAGGCATATTTGAGAATAGGTGTAGGGAGACGGTTTATGAGATAGACCGCGGTGACCATGGCATATGGCCAAAATTTTTGTGGGACGCCGGAGTGGGTTAGAAGAGCGAGGCCAGTTTCAGCGACATGGCGATTCCGTCGTTCGACGATTCCGTTATGTTCAGGAGTATGTGGTGGGGTGGTGTGGTGGCCAATGCCATTGTCGCTGAGAAAAGGGCGTAGACCAATAAACTCGCCTCCATTGTCAGAATAAAAAATTTTGATTTTATGATCAAAATAATTCTCAACCAGCAATTTAAATTTCGGAAAAATAGTAATCACGTCGGACTTGTGTTTCATGGGGTAAAGCCACATATAACGGGTAAAGTGATCCACAAATAAGCAAAAATAGCGCATTCCATCACACGATACAATGGGAGAAGTCCATACATCACTAAAAATAATTTCCAATGGATAAGATGAGTGTAGAGTGGATTCATGAAATGGAAGCTTATGGCTTTTATTGATTTGACAAGCACTACAACAAGATGGAGAATATTTAGTGTTTCCTAAATGAAATTGCTGGTTTAAAAACTTGAAAATGGAGGAGGAGGGGTGGCCCAGTCGGTGGTGCCACGAGCTTGATTTGGAGAGGTGGAGTGAATGGGCCGAAATGGGTGTCTTGGGCCAGATGTAGAGTCCATTGCGGCATGGGCCTTTAAATAGCACCTGGGCCGTCCGCAGATCCTTCACCATAAAAGAATCAGGTAAGAATAATATACCATATAAAGCTTATAAATGTCAAGATGGTTTATTCATGACTTCAGCCTTTACATATATAGAGTACAGAGACAGATGAACGTGAGATGAACGTGGAGAGATCTGTGCTAACAACTGCCTAACTCTCCCTAACTATTCTCCTGAGTTTAAGCTACTGGCTAATGCTTGAGACTTGTTCAAACATAAGCAACAAAAATAATAAATAAAAGAGTATCAATAATACAACAATAATAAATAAACGATTATAATTAATTATTGCTAATACATATGACTTATGAGACGGGTTAACAAAAAAAATAAGATCAGCACAAAATTCTTAACGAGAAGAGGATATTTTAATGCTAAAACAATAGTTAGTTTAGCAAGGATGGAATAATTAGTATTTTCAAAATACAAACTTATCAATATGCATGGTACATCTAAAATCTAAATGATGAGATAGGCATATTTCTAATACAAAATGTTTTTTTTTTAAATATAAAATTAGCATATTTTATCTTTTATTTGTAAACAAACAATTGTATTGAATAAAAGCTACTCCGTAAAAAATTATCATAACTGAGTGGGGGAGTTAGAACTTAGAGTCATGATAAAATGAGCAATTATTAAACAAAAGATTAAACAAAAGAGAATATTACCCGAAATAAGACTAACAAGTTTGAAAATTTCAAAATAGGACTGTCATGTTTTTATTTCTAAAATAGGACTAATTACTGTCATGTTTTGGTAATACCAGACTTCAAACATGGCAGTATTTTCCAAACTTGGCAGTAATTATCCTATTTTGGGAATAAAAAATATGTCAGTCCTATTTTGAAATTTTCAAACTATTTTAGTCCTATTTCAGGAACTTTCCCTAATAGAAAACTATAAAAATATATGGATGTAACATTACGCATCTATGTATCTTATACAGTTAGAGCATCTTTAATGGGGATATGGATTGTACCCTAAAATAAATGGACACATCATCAATGTAGACGGCCATGAAGCTGACATGGATACGCATCCATTTAAAATTAAAATTACATCTCTAAGGATGAAGTGGTTTTGAGTAAATATCTCTGAGGCCTTCTCTAAATAAAAACATTTTGTTTATCGTTGTTTTTCTTTCTTCTCCAAAGCAACGGAGATGTGGAAAATTGTACTCCTTCCGTATTTTTTTTATTTGTTACAATAGATGTTAACACATTTTTTAAGAGTGAAATAGTAGAGATAATAAATAGTGTAGAAAAAGTCGGAGAGATGGTGGAAAAGTATGAAAGAGAAGATAAAAAGTAGGAAAAATAAGGGTAGTTGAGTATTTTTAAAGGAAAAACGTGCCAAAAGGGAAAAATATAGCAAATTTTTGAATACATCCAAAAGAAGAAAGTGTAGCAAACAAAAAAAAAATATGGAGGGATTATTTCACAAGAACTTTAGAGAACACAAGGAGTAGGGATGGACTCGGGCCGGGCGGCCCGCCCCGGAACCGGCCCGGCCCGGCCACTGTAGTAACCGGCCCGGCCCGGCCCGGCCACTGTAGTAACCGGCCCGGCCCGGTGGCCCGGTCCAACAGCAGTTCGGGTCGAACCGGCCGGGCCGGAATTTTATTTTATTTTTTTTTGAATTTTTTTTAAATTTTGGGTTGGATTAGGTATTTTGGGCCATTTGAGGTGGTTTGGGGTGGTTTGGGGTTGAGGGGGAGGGATAGGGCGTTAAATAAGAGAAGCAAAAAAAAAAAAAAATTATGACCCGGGTGGCCCGGCCCGGAACTGGCCCGGTCTGGCCCGGAACCGGGAGCCACCGGTTCGGGTCCGGGCCCTCCATTTGGTGAACCGAGGCCCGGCCGGTTCAAGGCCCGAACCGGGCCCGGCCCGAACCGAGTCCACCGATAACAAGGAGGAAATCTGCGGTAATTGCCGACGACGGTACACGAGAACCAAACGACCGCTACTTCAATCCAATTTAACCAATTTTGTTTCATCGTTGCTGCCTTACCGGGTAGAACTTGAAACTGAAGCAATCATCATATGATTCCAATGGCAATAGAGGAGATGGCCAGATCCACCCGACTTGGGAAGACGAGGCCTCACATTCGGTACCGGTGGACCAAGCTTGGTGGCGACGACGAGGCCTCACATCGATCCTATTTACAGGGTCGGTGCCGGAGGACAACGGGCTGCGACTAGATTCCAAAGGTTGCCAGACCGTGAGTTTAATTCCTTCTACAATTAGAAGGAAGAGTAGAAATTGTGGACGGTTATCTATTCCAACTCAGCACCGCTTAAAATGTAGACAGTTCCATACTTTCATTGGTGAGAAATTTAACCGGAGTGTCTATTATGCTCACGTGGCAACGTATTGTCTAGCAATTCATATTACCATTACAGATGCTATTGAGTAGCAATTTGAGTAGGAATGTCCGAATGTGTAATGAATGCTAGCTTATACTCCGTACATTTTTAAACAAAATTTCGTAAATACATCTCGTTGAAATAATATTGACATAAAAATGAGGGGAAATGGAATTAACATTAAACGCTTTTGTAACTTACTCACAGTTACGTGAATTGGCCTCAGTTCATCCTTACAATATAGGGTGGAACCGGTCCGGGTCGGCCCTGACCCTGCCAGTCCCAGTTCTAAATAATTAAAGCTCGGTACCGACCCGGGTTGGTTCGGTACTAGTTCCTGTCCGAGTCCAAACAGTACCGGCACCAGGTCGAGCTTGAGACAATACCCGCCCATTAACTAAAAAAAATAAAATCTAGTCGTTTGGCATGGACCAGGTCCCAATATTCAAGCCCAAAGCCCGCCTCTATTCAACCACGGTCTGGAAACCGGAAAATCGGGCCCGGGCCGAACAGCACCGGTCTTGGGTCGGGCCGCCCGGACCTAGTCCACCCCTACTACAATATACGGAGTATTAAGATCCTATCATAACAATTGAATTACCGATAAATAACTGAATCTAACGATGAAATTACTAATGAAAGTCCAACGAAGGCGGATGAAATGACTAATGAAATCCCAACAAAAGCAATTGAAATTACTGAATCTATCAAATTGTGAAAAAGATTAAAATATGTTTATGGATAAATAAAGAAAAAATACCTAAAAAATAGTTAATATAGCTGATTCAATCAAACCAGCTAAACCTTAACTTCAACTTTATTTGTCTTTATTATTAAACAATTTAACGTATAAAATAGAATACACATCTGTAATAAGTTGGATGATAATGATAAAATTGATGAGGCAAAATAGAGGATACCAAACGAGCCATGAGTAATCTATTTGGACCTATTGCCAAAGATTTAAAATTTCCATTCTCCTGATACATTATTCAATCACCCACTGACACGAACTAGCAGTCCTATTGTCTACCCAAAAACACGATTACAGCATATACACATACTAATAGTACGGCAGCATCTTCATTAAAATGGATTGTACAATTGTTAAAAAAAACTGTAAGAAAAATGGCAGCAAACTCAATACCAATAACCACATACAGAAAGCGAGAAAGCTGAATGCCCGCAGCAGTTTCTTACACGAAAACCTTTCGAGAATATGCCGATGAATCAATGATGACAGCGAGAGAAACTCAACTCGATGTCCTTTCCCTCTCTCCAGAAAATCTAGGAAGTTGAACCAACGAGTTGACTCGTGTGACACCTTCCAGTCCTGACCAATCCCCCTCATCTTCGTCATACGCAGCCACTGTTGTTTTGTAAGCACTGTTGCTCTCTTCTGCTGATCTAACAGTGAAGTTCCTTTGCAGTGAGGGTTCAATGCTCTGTTGTTGTCCATCATCTGATTCGGCAACATATCCAGAATGGTTAGTGGCGGCAGAAGAGAAACCGAAGCCGGCATGTTGTTCTTCGTGGTCGGATTCGGGATCCATCTTCCCGTCCAGGAACAAGCAAACCACCGCACAATCATCCATCTTTGATGTCGGATACTTCGTCTTCCATTCGCGTGCTGCACATCCTACTATGCTTCTTGCTGCACATGACCTTGAAGGTGCTGATGTCACTATTTCAACTACTTCTTCGTTGCTTAGCACATCCCATACCTGAAAAAACACAAAAATGTATTTATTCGACTATACAAAAGCTATCATAGTTATGTTTGTTAGAACTTGAGGTTCAATCATATTATACCGTACACAGGAATTGCGGTTTTACAATTTGTGCATGACTATGATTTCCTGCCACTTATATGTCAAAAATTAACCGAAAAGTTTACGGAAATTGATTGGATAAGTGGCTGGCTGGACCGTAACTCATAAGGACAAGAAGATCTGGTCATAGGACCAAAAGTGAAATAAAAGTGAGGACCAAAATAAAAAATGACCTAATGGTCGTGGGATAAAAAATAAAATATTTTTAATTTGGTCAATATGAGATGAGTTAACAATGTCCGATTACAATATTCATAATTTTATATTTTAAAACCAACATGCAAATACGACCTATACCCTGATATATTACGAGTATAATTTTGAGTATGACTTACTAATTTAAATCAATGACTTGAGGCATATCTTAACCAAAAATAGCTAAATGGTATGAAGATTGGGACTTACACCATCAGATGCAAGAACAATGAACTTGTCCCTATCAGTAAGAACACGGTGAGAGACTTCTGGGATAGAGATTACTCCATAATCCTTCAAACAGAAATCCCCAAATGCTCTAGCCATAGCCAACCCTGGGGCGTTATCAAATGGCAGCCAAACTCTCTGCACTTCTGGTTCGTCTTGTAATGCAAAAACCCGTCCCTTGCACCGTTTTATCCTCTCTGCTTCCTCTACAACAACAAATAATGCAACCTCATTATTCAAATGTTTTTTTAATAAATTAAAGACATCTATTTTAATACGGAGCATATAAAAAGGAAAAAGGAAAAAGTGAGAGAGAAAAAGGAGAAGTAAACAATACTAGGTAAATCAGGCTTCAAATCAACTGTCAATTGAGTGGCCACCATCATATCATTGTTGTCTCTTGATGCCAAGATTGCCCGAGAATCGCCAATACTCCCCATGAAAAGATTTGATCCCTTATAAACAACACAAACAGATACAAACTCAATAAGAAGAAATGTCAAGTACAAATGACCCTCGAGGTTTTTGAAAATTAGAAATAAATCCCTTAAGGTTAGGTCTAGTTATCAAATGACCCTCAAGGTTTTTGAAAATTAGAAATAAATCCCTGACCAGTTACGTTTTCAGCATATGATTCTGAAAAATGATACTACGTATAATGTAATGAAAGCTGTAGGACTTGAATCTTTGGGACCAAATTAACTTCACTATTTGTCCGCATAATTATGACCAAACTACCCTCAGTATTTGTCCACATAATTGTGACCCTAATATAGCTCCCTAATACATAATGTTCACGTCAGGTTATTTTTTGTTATTAAGACCAAATAAAAGATTCATTATATATAAAGGTATCAATTTTAAGCCTATAAATGCATAAAAATGGAAGACATAAGTGTTGTTTCCCTCATACCTGTTTTACAATAGTAACAGCAGTACTACCACTGCAAAAGCAATCTAAGTTAGGATGAGACCTCAAATCTTTGTCCATAGCCTTGTATGATTTCAAGAAAGCCTCTCTCCAAGAAGAGCCATCCGCTTTATCCTCAACAAGGCCGACCTTCTCAGGGTCAACGACCTCCAACTTTGGGTCCCCATTGCAGCAATTAGAAGAAGAAGAAGACCCGTTGCGTTTAGATTCGATGGCCCGCAAGAATGACAATAACTTCAAAGGCAATTGATCCCTCACTTTGCGAGCAACCATATGACCGTATGGACCATGCCCGTCAAAGACACCGCAAAAAATTACATCTTCAGCCATGAAATCCTACAAGTATAAAGAAATAACCAATGAAGCTTCAATCTAATGGTGTGTCCAAGAGGGATGTTGCTTATTATAAGGATTAAAAGAAGAAATAACAAATACATACTTCCCACACAATCATGGCATCCTGATTTATACCCTTGCGGCCTTGTTGAGTGAATATACAAGAAGTACGGCTCCTTCCATTTGTGAAAATTCGGTTGGGTATGGAAGACAACTGCTGCAATTCCCTGATATTTTTCTGGAATGTTCTCTTTCTCCCAAACACGTTCATGCATAAGCATTCAGAAGAATCTTTCTCTCCATTACTATTGGTTGAGACAGAACAGCCCATTTTTGCTCAGAAACAGAAAGCGCTCATCTATTTGAAACCAAACAATGTTCTGATCTCAGGGAAAGTCAAAGTAGAATACACGGTTCTGCTATATCTTTGCTCAATTTTTCAAAGCCTTCACAGAAGATCTGAGCTGATGCTAACAAAGCCAGCTAACAAAACAGTAAAACATTCATCAATTCAACTACTTATTGAAATGCACTATAAATTGTCAAATGCAGCATAATAGAGTACGGAAGATCAATCAATCAATCAATCAAAAAAAGGGAAAAAGAAACCAATATATATATATATGCTTTTGCATGTGAGTAGAGTCCATAATTGTATACTGTTAGGCAGCCTTTAGCTTTTGTCCTTTAATGGGAATCTCAACTATGCAAATCAAGTTGAGAGTTTTTAATGCCAAGCAACACACCACAATCTTGTAATTTTATATTAGAACCAGGAGACAGAAAAACAGGAAATTCTGAAAGAAGTATATCTTAAGAACAGATCAGAAGGCAAAGGCAGAAAGATATCTAATCTAACCCTTTCAATTATTCAATGTTCCATGTTCTGCGCTTCAAAATAAATAAGATAAAGATCAAATCTTTTACTGCAAAAAAATGTCTATTCAAAAAACCACTCAATATACACTCTTATCAGAAAGAACAATCGGAATATATGGCTATTTCAATCCTCAGCTTTAGATCAAAAAGGGATTTTACATGTGATCTTACCTACACAAACAAAGCGAAAGTAGAAGACAGTAGACTACTGTATATTGATTGCAAAAAGATCAGGAAAATACTCCGTAGGAGTTTCCCTGCTATGGGTCCTAAATGTGAAATCCAAAATTTATTCACAAATGAGAGAGGTAGTCAGTCAATAAAAAAAGTTGGTAAACTCCGGAGATATGTTTGAAATAAAGTAAGTGGAAATGAGAGACCCCAAGATTCAAAAGACTTAAAGCAAAATCACTAAAACGAAAAAGGAAGAAAAGGACGAACAGATGAAGTGGATTTGTCAACACTTTAATCTTATTATACTGAATTCCTCAAAAGCATACCAAGAACAAATCGAACGCTATTCGCTCTGATATGGAGGGAATTATTAACTTAACTAGGTCCGTTCATCAATTCAACTGTAAAAATCCATAACTAAAAAAAAGTATTCTTGCATGATGATTTTGACAAACAAGAAAAGCCCAAACAGATAAATAAATACCTGAAAGTGGGTTATACTCGAGCAGAGGATGCTCTTTCTGGGGATTCGATCTCAAAACATGAAAGACTAGAGGGGATTTGGGCCAAGATTGGAACTTTGGGTTTCTGGAATAAGGCAGGAAATGAAGGATGTGGAACTGTGGAAGCCAAGAGAGGCTATTGCTTTTCAAAGGTGGGGGCTGTGAGCTGGAGTGGGAGTGGTAAAAGAACAAACACGGAACGTGCAGCTGACGGATGGGACTATAGGCGGCGGCGCCGTGGCGGTGGTGGTGGGGGATGTGGCTTTGCTCTTTACGTTATTATTATTATTACTCGTATTGTCATTATTGTTATTAAAGAAAGCCCACTACCCTGTCACCGGTCGGCATCCATACCAACAGCAGCAGAGGAGCATTCCGATTTAATTGCTGGAGAAATTATCACAAACAACTCGTGACTGGAAATGAGAATATCCCCACATTTTTTAACATTTTATCACAATTAACTTGTTTGAGATCACTCATATTCATCATGTGCATAAGAAAATGATAGAGCAATGATACAAGATGCTTATTTTTATCTTATTGTCAACGTTGATTCTCAGAGTGTTGATACCGGAGTATGTGCTTTTGTGTCTCTAAATGTCAGATTAAATAACCTTATCTAGGTTTGTAATTTTTAGTTATCTTTTTTAATCAAATAAATTTAATTTAACCACTTAATTACGGTATCAGTTTTTAATTATATTCTTATTTTCCTTCAAAAAATTATATTCTTGTTTGAATTTTGCAAATTATAGAAATTTTAATGTTGCTTTTAAATATATAAATTGTAATTATATAAGTTGAATTAGTTATCAATAGGAAAGATTTAACTTTAAGATTGGTTGCTAACAAATTGACTATGTAAATTTATTTGGGACGGAGAGAATATATTTTTTGTGGAATAAAAAAATGTAGTGAATCAAATTATGAATTTTTCTCCAATCATCACTATAATAATCTACCAATCGCAGTGGAAACGGTATATGTTCTCAATTATGAGAACAGAGATACATTGGATGCGAGCCAACGAAATTAGTATGCTCAAATAGGCCCCTGCTAATACAGAAAACTCAATTAAATCTCTGAACTCAAAAAATACTCAATTAAGCCCACGAACTATAAAAAGCGAGGCAAAACAATCCTTAACTCCTTTTAGTCTCGTTATATTTAGGTCGTGGACTTAATTGGATGGCTTGCCTCGTTATATTTAGTTGGTGGGCTAAGGAAGTTTGAAGTTTTGCTAAGGAAGTTTCGCACATTTCTCTCTTTTGCTAGAACTACAATAGATAACACTGTTTACATCAATTTTGAGAGTTGAGTGCATTATTTCTTATTTTCCTCTTGTTTACTCTACTTTTTGTTTGAGTTATTTTATTCAAACTAATAATTGCGGTCGGTTTTTACTTGGCGAGTTAGGGATGACCGAATGCAAAGCACTTTGAGTTTAATGAGATAAACAATGAATATAATGAGAAGGTAAATTATAAAGACCCAAGACTTACACGATTTTGATCAACTCTTAGTACGTAGTATCAGGGACGGAGCCAAGTGGGTTAGCCGACCCCGCTCAAAGTTCAAGAATGTAGAGCTTTGAAATATCTTCGATTTGATATATTATGGGTCACGTAACTCATTACGAGTAAAAAGTTATGACTTCTGAAAAAATCAGCATCATCTTAACTCGAGATGATCAAAATTTGATGTGTGTTATTGATTATATTCTTAAATTTAAATATAGAACACCTCATTCACTCGTTAGTTGCGTGAACGTTATACTATATTGCATATGTGTCAATACAATAACTGAATATGCCTCATTAAACAACCATTTATATAAGTTACATATATATGAAACATTTAACCTAAGTATTGTTTCATAATGATCCACCATTTTGATATTGTATATGATTATATTTTGACCCCCTCACACGTATTTCTGACTCCGTCACTGCGTAGTATACTCTTTAGTATAGGGAAAATAAGGAAAAAATAGAAATGATTGAAAATCGATTTGTATTGAGGAACGCATTGGATAGCCCCTCTATTTACAATATTATTTGGTAATGTAAGTAGGGGTTTGTCCTCAAATAATACTAATTAAAAGCATTTGGACAAAAAAAGAGACTTTTCATTTAAGTTCCAAAAATAGGACTAAATAATACTTAAGGGACTATTACACCCTTACTAAGCCCAAACCCACTAGCCTGCTACAGTAACCCGTCACAGTGACCAAATGTGCAGTGACCAACCAATGACATAGTTACAAAATCCACAAGTGACCAAAATCTGCCAGTGACCAAAAATCCGCCAGTGACCAAAAGTCCAAAACCCGACAGTGACCAAAAATTAAAAATCAGTCTGTTACAACAACCCATTTACCACCCCGAGCAGTGACCACCTGGCTCATCCAATTACAATTACCTGATCCGTCCAGTTACAGTTACCTCGTCCGGTCCGTCCAGTTACAGTTACATGACCTGCCCAGTTACAGTTATCCGACTAGCCCAGTTACAGTTACACGACCCGTCCAGTTACATTTGCCCGACCCCTCCAGACCTCCAGTTACAATTACCCGACCCCTCCAATTACAATTACCCGACCCCTCCAGTTATTGCCCAACTCATTTAGTTACAATTACCCGACCCATCCATTTACAGTTACCTTATCATTCCAGTTACAATTACCCGATCTGTCACTTACAATTACCCAATTTGACCAGTAATCCGGTACGAGCATTTACAATGGCCCGCTCAAAAATGAGCGCCGCCAACTATTACCTAGGCCATTACCGGCGACCATCGCCGCTGTCGACCACCGCTTCCATCCTCCACAGGCCCTGCCCCTACCACGCCCCCTGAATTGCATCACCCCTGCCCCACCAGTCCACCACCCCAGCCCTGCCCCCTGCCCAACCACTCTGCCCCTGCCCAACCACTCAACCCATCCCCGCCCTTGCCTCACCCAACCCCCTGCCTCATCACCACCCATCAAATCCGGTGACTCCAGTCCAACCACCTGCACCCACCATCTCCGGCGACCACTGTGTCTCTGCCGTCACTTCCAACCATCCCCCACAAGCCCTGGGCAGCCCCCCTCCAATCCCCGACCAACCTAGCCCTGTTCCAATCGTCCACCAGCCCAACCGGATACCCCACTGGTCACTACCCCAACTGTCACCGCCCGTCACCGCCAGATCCAAACTTTTCCGATCTGAAAACCTAGCAACCAAGAACCCTAACCGACGGAAACACTCGACGGAACCATCAAAGTCACGGAAAAAGAATAAGACGATGTCAATTGGTGGATGTGAACTTCGAGCGAGGGAGTTGAGGTTGCTTGCAACAGTGATGGTGGGTGAGGGTGGAGCAGCGAACGACGAAGTGGCATGACGGCAAATTAGAGACGAAGGATTGGTCGCACAAATAGACGGACTGGGCGCAGAGATGGAGAGGTGGGTGTTGAGGAAGCCAGGGTAATTTGGTCTCTCTGCTTTTAGTTCGGTCTTATTTATGTCCAAATTGGCATGTGGTCCTATATACGTCTTTGAGGACCATAAAACTGCGATTCGAGTCATTCTTTCATGTAAGTAAATGCTAATTTATTACTCCGTACAACATATTCATTATAAATGGTGTATATTCATTGCACAAATCTCTCTTAAAATTGAGTTACTCTTAAAGTTGTATAAGAACAAACTACATGAGTCTTGAATAATATAGAAGATAAAAACTATGAAAGAACAAGCAAAAAGATAGAAAGAGCATATCCAAAACTCTAACTAACATGGATAAGCAAGAGCATAATCACTATATCAATTATCAAATATATGATGCAAATGTTGGAGTAACATAATTTTGCCACTCCACAAAGTTGTACAATAAACTTGTGTGGCATACACCATTGAAATTTTAACATGTAGCTCATTTGCACTATTAAGGAGTTTCTACAATATACTCCATTAATGAAAACCATTACTCCATCCATTTTGAAAATAACTTCACAATTTCAATTTATATTTGTACCTCTATTTTAAGTCAAATCAAATAAAAAATGAGTAAAAAGTAAAAACAGTTATGTCATTTATTGTTGAACGTTTTCTTTTTATATAGATGTGGGGTTATTTTGGGAGACCGAAATAAGAAAGTGAGAAGTTCTATTGAGGACGGGAGTAATATATATTTCTCGAATGCATTACACTTTATCTTCTATGCAATGTGTGCTTAAAGGTCAAGGTCATTCACATTTCACAATACTTGATTTGTTTTTATCCATTTCCAAAGTTGACTAGAAATTGGATAATCATGTAGTGTGTAGATTATTTTGAACTTTTAGTACATTTCTAAGCACACCATAATTATAATTAAAATTTTCTTATCACTCACATGTTACAACCTCCCCCTTTTCCATCTTTTGCATGAATTACTAAGTCATTTCTTTTACACTTCTAATCTCAAAATTCATGAATTTCTATTCACACTCTAAGGGCTTCTAGAGACCATTGGTGGTCCAATATCAACTCATAGTCAACAACGAGGTAAACTCGAAATTTTATTCCTACCCCCTCTCATTCTCATAACAGGGAGGTAGTGTATGTGTGAATTATAAAAAGAAGAAATTTTATCAATCCAAGACCTGCAAAATAGATGAATTATCAATCTGGGACCTTAAATATCAAATGCATCGATATATGACCTGAATGATGAAAAACATCAATTTAGAACCTGAATGATTGAAAAATATTAATCTAGGACCTAAGTTGTCATATTTTTTTTTTATGAAAGCGGCTTACATATAAATCAAACTATTTGGAGAGTAGGTAAAAAGACAAAGTAACTTAAGAAAACCGCCGTCCCGCGAACCAGAGTCGGAGTCAATCACCTCAGTAATATAACTCACTGGTCCAAAATGGGGCACAACTGAGCCAATGACGGTAATCACAGTTAAATCATCACCCACATCCAAATTCAAAACCATCGTTTTACAATCAGATAGCAAGCAAAAACAACCAACACGAAACAAAAGACCAGTTTGAACCAAAAATAAAACAGCAAAAAAAGATAATATGACCGAAATCCCAAGGCAGAACAAAACAACACCAATCCGCCCCTTCCTGCCTCTTTCCTGCCCATGACAAGCCTACCCCTCTAAGCCCATCTCTTCTCCATCTTTTGTTCCATCCAGAGCCATCTTGTCCCCTCCTTGGTTTTGAGTTGTCCCTATTTCCCAGATATGCCTCCGTTTCTCTCCTGTAGATTCTTCATTCTATTTCACAACCACTTCCTTATTGAAGCCACTACCCGAGTCTACTGTAACATCCTTGTCTCCTAGTGCTCTCCCGCCCATCCCCTGCTCCTCCCATCCCTTCCCAAAGTCGAGCCTTACCCAACTAACCACTTATTTTTCCCTGTTGGGCTGGTCTTCACCCCACCTCCTACCCTTAGAGACGCATCAAATCTTTTTTCCAGTATTAGGCCTTCCTCATACATTAGCGGACAAAATTTCTCGGAGTGCCCAATAACTCCGCAAACAAAGCAAAAGTTAGGTAGCTTTTCATACTCAAAATCCACCCAATAACCAACTCTCTTTTTTTTCAGAGTTGTGCCCTTTTTCAGAGGAAGTTCCACCTTAATACATGCTCTAACACGTAGATAAGACTTCCACTATTCCCCATAATTATTTTTATCGTAGTTAACAAAACTACCAAAAAAATTGCCCACTTTTCTAGCAATTCCTAAATTCAACAGACAATCGGGAACATTATGAACTCTCACCCAGAATTTGCTTCATTCAGAGAAATCTTATGTGGAATATCAGTTGGTTTTATTTCTTTCGCAATCAGTAAATTCCTCTCAAACTGCCAAGGACCTCCATGAACCACACATTTCATATTAACAGGGTGATTAAAGTTAAAGATATACCTTTTCTCATCGATCTCCTTGACCTCCGCCCCTCTTCCCGCTCTCTGAAAGCTGAAAATTGATCTTCCTGTCAGTAATCAGTGCACCTGCTACCGGGAAGGCCAGTCGCTCCACCTCTCGAGATTCTTCCTCGGCTTTGAGGTCATCACAGACCAGCTCCGCCTCCTTGTCTGCTACGCTCATCCTTCGATACCGGTCAGCGATGGTCTCCATTCCGATCCCGTAATTTGTGAACGAAAATCGTTCCCTTCATCTTCGGACTCCCTGGTCGTCGCGAATCCCCTGCAGCTTCAACCCTTTAAAAAATTAGTCCTTCCCTCACCGAAACCTTCCTGTTTCTGACCTCCCCAATGCAACGACGTCCAAAGCCAAACCACACCTCGTCGATGTCGCCGAGATCGGACTAAGAACCCTAGTGGCACTAATGCCCTAGAGAGAGAACTAGGGGGCTGTTATTATGAAGTTCGTTAAATACATTTTAAATTAATTTGAATAATATAAGTTGTCATAAATTTTATTATTACTTTTATTTTAAAATTTTTGAACATTATTTAGTTTTATTAAACTCATAAAATTTTGTTAAGAAAAGTTTATAAAAAATTAGTAATGGAACTAATATAATAAATAAATAAATCAAAATATATGAAATGTGTTGGGATATATTATCCCGGCCTATTACTGTTCAGGAGCCCAAGACATTATCCAGTACGGAGCCCGAGCAGATAGGCCCGTTTCGGCCCATTAGGCCCGATATTGGCCCGTTTGGCCCATTAGGGTGGAGAGCCCCTTCTCCCCTTCCCCTATTTATAGGAGGCTTCCCTCCATGTTTTAGGGAGCCTTTTCCGGAGCTTCTTCTTCCTTCTTTCTCTCTAGCTAGCTCAATACTCCATAAATGGAGCTCAAAATGTACTATGTAATGGTGAGGAGAGTCCTAATGAGAAAGAGAGGGCTTGGACATTAGCCTAAAAAGTCCCGTGGTTTTCTCCCTTTCGGGTTTCCACGTAAAAACTGAGTTGTTCATACACATTTATACATATATTTACTATATCGTGTTGGATTAAACTCAACACTGGCGCCGTCTGTGGGAATCCGTCCAAAAAGATTCGTGTGTTCTACTGTTCTTGAGTTTCTGCAAAAATTCATACGAAGTGGACTGATTCTAGCAAAATGAAAAAGAAAAAATCTGGAAGTTTGGTCTGGGGAAGCTCTGGATCCGCCGCCAGCAGCTCCGTCCAACAGACCGATGAAGAAGAAAAGCAAAGAAGAAGTGTTCTGGAAAGGAAAAGGAAGAAGAAGGTACGAAGTGAAAAAGAAGAGAAAAAAGATGTTGTAAACGTTCAGATCCAGATATAGTCGGAAGGAGTAACCATGGCCGACTCAGCCGGCGGCGATGCGGCTCCGAGCCAGGGGTGGAGTGCGAACTCCGGTCTGCCTCGAGTTTCATCACCCCAGCCGCAGCTCCTTCATCAAGCCGAAGTACCGGTGGGCGTCGTGGCAGTGGACGAATCCACCTCAACCTCGGGACAGATGGGTTTCCGCCATTAATGGCGGTTTGGAGCTCATAAAGGTGTGTATTTCGGAGTTCCAACCACCGTACTCCGTATACTATTGCTCTGCTGCGACCACGATCCCCTCTGACCGCCCGTGCTCTGCTGCAACCACCATACCGCCGGCAGAAGGTGGCCGGCGTATGAGCTACGTCCGAGTTGATAGAGGGAGCTCCACCTGCCTTCTTAGAGATACACTGTATATAATGAATATGGCCCTCAGAAGACCACGTCTGCGTGTTTGGAGCCAAGCAATGGGGGGCCACCTTCTTTGGGGAGTTTTGACCAAGTCACAATATGTTGGAAGCTCAATTTGATCAAGTCAGACCTTTTCATCTAACCGAAACTTATCTCAAGAGCTAAGTATCACATATGCTTCCTCATTCACATGTTAATTAAGTTTCAATAATGTTATTGCTATTAATTATTATCACATTATTTAATAGGGATAAAAGTATCCCGAACTTAAATAATGTCGAGCATGGCTCAAGTGAGTAACGCTCTTGTGGTAATAATTACTTTTCACCGTCATTTTAATTAATGATTGGTTGTTATGGGCCCGTCGGCCCGCTCCTGATCGGCTTTAATTAGCGAGCGGAGTATACTTGAATGGCCTTTGATAGGGAAATATCATTGTTATTGCCTGTTACATCACTATTATTTATTAGGGATAAAATGTCCCGAATTAAATAATGTGGAGCGAAGCTCTGGTGATGGTTGGTTCAGCCAACATTTTATTAAATATTTAATTTCTCGTGGGCCTGTTGGCCCACTCTCGATCAGTTTGATTAAGTGATCCGAGCGTCTCCAGAAAGGCGATGCCCCGACGACGCATTTTAATTTGGGGGTTACGCATTAGTCTGCACGGCATCAAGTGCCCGAGCGACGATCATACCTCAATGTAATCTACGCCATTAGGCGCGGAGTGACTATTGCCGAACGTGGCCTATGGCGCCCGAGGGCACCAAAGCACTCAACCTCGTTTTTCCGAGGGCAGTGCGACCAACTTGGGTTTGAGTTTGAGAACTCATAGACCAATGATTATATTTATGTGACGTTCGGCGGGCTGCTGATTGGCCCCGCCGCGAGCTGCTACGTCCATTAACCCCGCACGATGAGCCGGGCCTAGGGTCACGATGACCCCTAGGCCGGTAATCGTGGATGTTAAAGATAAAGCCATGCAGATGGCCATGTGTGCATACATATTGTCGGGCCGTGCGGCCCGTTACCATGCTTATTGCGCAGCTGAAGCCGCTCGACGCGCTCGAGCGAAATGATTAAAAGACGCTCGGCCTGAGTCTCAAGGACGTTCAGGGTCAGCTAAAGAGGAGACCATCACGGCTGAGAGCCGAGAGACGAGCATCTCCACCCCAGAGACCGATGGCCTAGGAAGAACACCTAGAGGCCGGGGGTCTAGAGTGGACTACCACGACGGAGGACCGTGAGACGATCATCCATCATTCAGAGGCCGAGGGCCTAGAGGAGACCATCACGGTTGAGAACCGTTGGACGAGCATCTCCACCCCAGAGACCGATGGCCTAGGAAGAACACCTAGAGGCCGGGGGTCTAGAGTGGACTACCACGACGGAGGACCGTGAGACGATCATCCATCATTCAGAGGCCGAGGGCCTAGAGGAGACCATCACGGTTGAGAACCGTTGGACGAGCATCTCCACCCCAGAGACCGATGGCCTAGGAAGAACACCTAGAGGCCGAGGGTCTAGAGTGGACTACCACGGCGGAGGACCGTGAGACGTTCATCCATCATTCAGAGGCCGAGGGCCTAGAGGAGACCATCACGGCCGAGGGCCGTGAGACCATCCTGATTTCAGATCGGCCTCTCATTGCTGACGTCATTACATCATGACCGGCCTCTCGGCACGGCATGATTATTTTATTTGAAGACCGGGCTCATCCCCGCGCTGCGCGGACGATGACCGTTGCTGGATTTCTTTCAGGTCGGCTTCTCATCGCCGACATCATTATATCACGACCGGCCTCTCGAACCGGCTTGATTATCATATTCGAAGACCGGCCTCGTCCCTGCCACCTCGCGGACGAGGACCGTTGCTTGACCATATCTTGATCGGCATCTCATTGCCGACATTATCATACCACGACCGGCCCCTCGGCTCGGCGTGTTCATATTTGAAGACCGGCCTCGTCCCCGCACTGCGCGGATGAGGACCGTTGCTTGTTTTCTCAGATCGGCCTCTCATTGCCGATGTCGTTATATCACGACCGGCCCCTCGACTCGGCGTGTTCATATTTGAAGACCGGCCTCGTCCCCGCACTGCGCGGATGAGGACCGTTGCTTGATTTTCTCAGATCGGCCGCTCATTGCCGACACCATTATACCACGACCGGCCTCTCGGCTCGGCGTGCTTATCTCTTGAAGACCGGCCTCGTCCCCGCCACCCCGCGGACGAGGACCGTTGTTTGATTCTTTCGGGTCGGCCTCTCACTGCCGACACTATCATGTTATGTTCGGCCTCTCGGCACGACATATTTACCTTTTGAAGACCGGTTTCATCCCCGCGCTGCGTTGGATGAGAGCCGTTGCTCGGATATATCGGCCTGACTGGACACTATTGCCATCTCCGTTATCAGGACCGACTGCCCAGCGATATTATGATCATTGTATATCGGCTCCCAATGCCGACCTTCTTGAGTCAGCGATCGGGCTCACCCCTCCCCTCCAGGAGGGTGACCATCGCCTTCGCATGACGACCAGCTATTCCGTCGCCTCGTCATTTTATTCGTTTTGGTATGCCACCACCATTATGTGTGACATCCCGTGATCCCTGCGAGTTTCTTGGATACCGAATGTCTTCTTCGATGTAGGAAGATCGGTAGGACCACGGACCAGGGACGGACGAACGAAGCACCAGGGAATCTCGATGCAGATAAACTTGTTCCTCCTTGCGATGTCTGCGGATACCGAACGTCTCCTCGAAGTAAGGACGCCGGTAGGACCAAGGACCAAGGACGAACGAAGCACCAGGGAATCTCGATGCAGATAAACCTGTTCCTCCTTGCGATGTCTGCGGATACCGAACGTCTCCTCGAAGTAAGGACGCCGGTAGGACCAAGGACCACGGACGAACGAAGCACCAGGGAATCTCGATGCAGATAAACCTGTTCCTCCTTGCGATGTCTGCGGATACCGAACGTCTCCTCGAAGTAAGGACGCCGGTAGGACCAAGGACCAGGGACGAACGAAGCACCAGGGAATCTCGATGCAGATAAATCTGTTCCTCATTGAGATGTCCGCGGATACCGAACGTCTCCTCGAAGTAGGAACGCCGGTAGGACCAAGGACCAATGACGAACGAAGAGTATAGATTGCCTCCCTCAAAAAAAAAAAAAAAAAAAAAGATGGGGAGAAGAGGAGGGTAGCTCCTATGTGGAAGGGAATCTTGCCCGGGTGTGCCAGATCTTCTCCCACCGCCGAAGACGAACGCCTCTCGATGTAGAGGTTAGTAGAGACGCGGAGGGGGCTAGACGAACCAAGGGAGCCTTGCCAAGATAAACCTGTTCATCCCACAATGACCATGGATCGATGGACGTGGGATAACAAAGACGGGAACCCGTGAGGGTAAACCAGTTCGTCCCTGCGAGTTCCTTGGGTACCGAACGTTTTCTTCGATGCAAGAGACGCCGGTAAGGCTAAAAGGACCAGGGACGAACGAAAAAGGGGGAATCTCGATGTAGATATACCTGTTCCTCATTGCGATGTCCGCGGATACCGAACGTATCTTCGATGTAAGAACGCCGGTAGGACCAAGGACCAATGACGAACGAAGACTAAAAGACTCCAAAAAAAAAAAAAAAAAAAAAAGATGCCAGAAGAGCACGGAGCAAAGAATGATTTTATCCCTTGGCACTATTGGCTGTGAAGTACAAACTGAAAAACATATGTAAAGAATAATTACAAGACTTAAGTACGAAGAATGAAGTGGCCGACGACGATCGGCTAACATCAGGTTTTCCTTTGCCTCGAACGACGATTAGCTCCCCAGATCAAGTAGAAGGGACATCGCCCAGATTTATTTCAGGCTCACCATTCCCTCCCGGATGGAGTCCTGGCAGACGATCGGCTTCTCACAGCCAATCAGGGGAGATACTTGACACATCACCAGCACGGCCGAGGGCCGTGAGACGATTACCACTCACCGACAGGCCGAGGGCCATGAGATGATCATCACTAGTTTTCTGTATCACGATCGGCCCCTCAGCGCCATCGTGTCCAGACTCACGGTTCGTCTTGCCCATTCCCTCCAGGATGGCGACGACCGTCTTATGCAGTACGATCGGCCCCTCAGCGCCATCGTACCCAGCTCACGTTCAGCTCGTCCATCCCTTCCAGGGTGGCGACGAACGTCTTATGCATCACGATCGGCCCCTCAGCGCCATCGTGTCCAGACTCACGGTTCGTCTTGCCCATTCCCTCCAGGATGGCGACGACCGTCTTATGCAGTACGATCGGCCCCTCAGCGCCATCGTACCCAGCTCACGTTTAGCTCGTCCATCCCTTCCAGGGTGGCGACGAACGTCTTATGCATCACGATCGGCCCCTCAGCGCCATCGTGTCCAGACTCACGGTTCGTCTTGCCCATTCCCTCCAGGATGGCGACGACCGTCTTATGCAGTGCGATCGGCCCCTCAGCGCCATCGTACCCCGCTCACGTTCAGCTCGTCCATCCCCTCCAGGATGGTGATGAACGTCTTATGCAGTACGATCGGCCCCTCAGCGCCATCGTACCCCGCTCACGTTCAGCTCGTCCATCCCCTCCAGGATGGTGATGAACGTCTTATGCAGTACGATCGGCCCCTCAGCGCCATCGTACCCAGCTCACGTTCAGCTCGTCCATCCCCTCCAGGATGGTGATGAACGTCTTATGCAGTGCGATCGGCCCCTCAGCGCCATCGTACCTGGCTTCACGGTTCGGCTCGCCCATCCCCTCCAGGATGGCGACGAACGTCTTATTCAGCACGATCGGCTTCTCAGCGCCGTCGTGTCTCTTTCACGTTCAGATCGCCCCATTCCCTTCCAGGATGGCGACGAACGTCTTATGCAGTGCGATCGGCCCCTCGGCGCCATCGTACTTGGCTTCACGGTTCGGCTCGCCCATTCCCTCCAGGATGGCGACGACCGTCTTATGCAGTACGATCGGCCCCTTAGCGCCATCGTACCCAGCTCACGTTCAGCTCGTCCATCCCCTCCAGGATGGTGATGAACGTCTTATGCAGTACGATCGGCCCCTCAGCGCCATCATACCCAGCTCACGTTCAGCTCGTCCATCCCCTCCAGGATGGTGATGAACGTCTTATGCAGTGCGATCGGCCCCTCAGCGCCATCGTACCTGGCTTCACGGTTCGGCTCGCCCATCCCCTCCAGGATGGCGACGAACGTCTTATGCAGCACGATCGGCTTCTCAGCGCCGTCGTGTCTCTTTCACGTTCGGATCGCCCCATTCCCTTCCAGGATGGCGACGAACGTCTTATGCAGTGCGATCGGTCCCTCGGCGCCATCGTACTTGGCTTCACGGTTCGGCTCGCCCTTTCCCTCCAGGATGGCGACGACCGTCTTGTGCAGCACGATCGGCTTCTCAGCGCCATCGTGTCTCTTTCACGTTCGGCTCGCCCATTCCCTCCAGGATGGCGACGAACGTCTTCTGCAGTGCGATCGGCCCCTCAGCGCCATCGTACCTGGCTTCACGGTTCGGCTCGCCCATTCCCTCCAGGATGGCGACGACCGTCTTATGTAGCACGATCGGCTTCTCAGCGCCATCGTGTCTCTTTCACGTTCGGATCGCCCCATTCCCTCCAGGATGGCGACGAACGTCTTATGCAGTACGATCGGCCCCTCAGCGCCATCGTACCTTTCTTCACGGTTCGGCTCGCCCACTCCCTCCAGGATGGCGACGACCGTCTTATGTAGCACGATCGGCCCCTCAGCGCCATCGTGTCTCTTTCACGTTCGGATCGCCCTATTCCCTCCAGGATGGCGACGAACGTCTTCTGCAGTGCGATCGGCCCCTCAGCGCCATCGTACCTGGCTTCACGGTTCGGCTCGCCCACTCCCTCCAGGATGGCGACGACCGTCTTATGTAGCACGATCGGCCCCTCAGCGCCATCGTGTCTCTTTCACGTTCGTATCGCCCTATTCCCTCCAGGATGGCGACGAACGTCTTATGCAGTACGATCGGCCCCTCAGCGCCATCGTACCTGGCTTCACGGTTCGGCTCGCCCATTCCCTCCAGGATGGCGACGACCGTCTTATGCAGCACGATCAGCGCCCCAGCGCCATCGTGTCTGGCTCACGTTAGGGTCGCCCATCCCTTCCAGGATGGCGACGAACGTCTCTTATGTAGCACGATCGGCCCCTCAGTGCCATCGTGTCTCTTTCACGTTCGGATCGCCCTATTCCCTCCAGGATGGCGACGAACGTCTTATGCAGTACGATCGGCCCCTCAGCGCCATCGTACCTGGCTTCACGGTTCGGCTCGCCCATTCCCTCCAGGATGGCGACGACCGTCTTATGCAGCACGATCAGCGCCCCAGCGCCATCGTGTCTGGCTCACGTTAGGGTCGCCCATCCCTTTCAGGATGGCGACGAACGTCTCTTATGCAACACGATCAGCGCCCCAGCGTCATCATGTCTGGCTCACGTTAGGGTCGCCCATCCCTTCCAGGATGGCGACGAACGTCTCTTATGCAGCACGATCAGCGCCCCAGCGCCATCGTGTCTGGCTCACGTTAGGGTCGCCCATCCCTTTCAGGATGGCGACGAACGTCTCTTATGCAGCACGATCAGCGCCCGAGCGCCATCGTGTCTGGCTCACGTTAGGGTCGCCCATCCCTTTCAGGATGGCGACGAACGTCTCTTATGCAGCACGATCAGCGCCCCAGCGCCATCGTGTCTGGCTCACGTTAGGGTCGCCCATCCCTTTCAGGATGGCGACGAACGTCTCTTATGCAGCATGTCTGCCTCTCGGCGCTGACATGCTCGAGTTCTCATTGAGAGCTACCGCTCCTATCACATCTTGCATTCCCTCTCTCATACATTGCACCCATACATTACATGCATTCATGCATCATACCTCATACATTCATACATACACACGTGCATCATGTTTTGACAGTACCGCGACGTCGGTTTATAGATGCATGGACCTCTAAGCTTCTCCGTTGGAAAGCTCGAGTCAGGGTCCTTTACTCTCGCCTGATGCATTCAGGGGGAGGGTGCCCGTGGAGGAGCACCCTTCGCCCAACCCCGTCGGGAACGGGGGTGCCTCACTGGTAGATTACGTTCAGGAGTGCAGACACTCACCCATATATTATGATTATGTGAAGACACAGTTTCCAGCAAGACAGAGGAAGAGCGCAGACAGAGTATATTTTCTCGAGCAGATTCGCGTGCTCACTACTCAAAAACTGGGGGACTTGTGTTGGGATATATTATCCCGGCCTATTACTGTTCAGGAGCCCAAGACATTATCCAGTACGGAGCCCGAGCAGATAGGCCCGTTTCGGCCCATTAGGCCCGATATTGGCCCGTTTGGCCCATTAGGGTGGAGAGCCCCTTCTCCCCTTCCCCTATTTATAGGAGGCTTCCCTCCATGTTTTAGGGAGCCTTTTCCGGAGCTTCTTCTTCCTTCTTTCTCTCTAGCTAGCTCAATACTCCATAAATGGAGCTCAAAATGTACTATGTAATGGTGAGGAGAGTCCTAATGAGAAAGAGAGGGCTTGGACATTAGCCTAAAAAGTCCCGTGGTTTTCTCCCTTTCGGGTTTCCACGTAAAAACTGAGTTGTTCATACACATTTATACATATATTTACTATATCGTGTTGGATTAAACTCAACAAAATGTTAAGTCCTAAATTGATAGTTTTCCATCATTCGGGTCCTATACTGATACGTTTCATCTTTCAGGTCCTGAATTAATAATTAATCTATCTTTCGGATCCTGAATTGGTAAAATTCCTAAAAACAAACCTTACAAGTCTCTTTAAAGGTATAAGAAAAAATATAAAAGAATATGGAATCAAAGGAACAAAGATTCAACCAGGCATTTTCACAAACAAATAGTGTACATAAGAAATCTCTTAAAATTAAATCTTCCAAAGTAAAACTACAAATCTATTAGATCACATGGTTTGATGATCCTTGATTACCCCCAATCTCTATTCCTACTACTAACTCATGATTAAGTCCAATAAAGCAATGTGTATGATAAAGATCAATCATAGTGGATTTAATGAAGCCAGAACAAGGAATTGACATACATAATAAAAAAAATGTAGTAGACAAGAGTTAAGGAGATTTATAACTCAATGGTAAGATTTGTATTTAAAAAAATTATCAGAAACTATACAATTCAGAGCAATATGTTATTTATAAACGAGGTAGAAAGAAAAAGACTGAGAGGAGCTACATCCCATTGAGGGGTAACGCTGAGAGGGAAAAAGTTCCTTTTAATGTTCCTCCTTCCAAACAAAATTGATCTATAACAGGTTGTGGGAAGGTGGAATGAACAACATTCTCGATGAAACATGGGGAAGAACATAGCTCTCTTTACCATTCCTCCACAGGAACGTGTAATGGAACAAATTCAGGGAACATCGAGAGGAACGTCGTTTCTTTTTATTGCAACACTGAAAAACGAATGTATATATTCTCAAGGTGTATATATTCTCAAGGCGACGTTCCTTTGGGTTATTATTATGTCCAAAACTCCTCTGACGCCTTCAATTTGTACTTCTTTATGCTACTCTACCTTCATGATCTTCAAATCATCCAATTATACTCCATATCATAGACTCTTCTAGCTGCTCGTTTTCACCCCATGGTCAATGTAGTGTCAAATTGAATATAATTAGAGTAACTAAAAACTGTTAATTATGATATCACAATTATATGTCATTGTTTCGTAAAATAAAAGGTTACTTATGTAGTCCTTCCCAATGCTAGTCGTATCAAAATCAGTCGTTTTTTATTGGAGAAGATGCATAAACCTGAAGTAAATTAAAAGAGAGCTAAATAAAAAATGACAAGATCGGGAACTATGCTTTATGACTTCATGTGGATGGTCATTACGATAAAGGTCATATTTAGGGGTGGAAATAGGTCAGCCGGCCTGTCAGGGGCCTGTGGCCTGGCCTGTTAAAGGCCTGGCCTGGCCTGGCCTCTTTAGTAATCAAGCTAGGCTTGGGCTTTTCTAAAAGCCCGTTTATTTAAATAGGTCAGACCTAGCCCAACTCTAAAGCCTTTTTACCTTAACAGGTCGGCCTATTTATGTGTGTGTGTATGTATTTAGTTATATTTATATTTATTTGTATTATTTATATTTATATTGGTATACTCAACTATATCCAAATCAGTATAATAGTATTTTTAGGGAGTGTGTATTATAAATTAGAATAGACTGCTTTTTTAAACATATATAAAGTGTGTTAATAGTTTATTAAGGTAATTGAAATTCAAAGTTTTTTAAGAATCAAAGTACATAGAAATTTATAAACTACATAATAATACTCCATAATAATGTATTATTAGACATCCAAAGCAAAACTAACGTATTATTAGACTTTTTAGTGAATATTTGGGGTAATAAATTTTATACCGGATTAAAAGGATTTTTCACTTTTCATTTTGTATTTTTTTTGAAATTTTATTTTTTTCCTTAACAGGCCCGGTAAATAGGCTTCAGGCCAGGCCAGGCTTTTAAACAGCCAGGCCCAGGCCGAAAAAATAGGCCTTTAACAGGTAACAGGCCAGGCTCAGGCCTATATTTTCTAAAACAGACCTGGCCTGTTTAGGCGAAAGCCTGGCCTGGCCTGGCCTGGCCTGTTTCCACCCCTAGTCATATTAGTGTTCAATAGACGATGATAGCCTCTAAGTACTCTTCCATATTCTTTTATTTCAATATTTGGGGAAAGTTTGTTCATAAAAAAATAGGAGTTAGCATACTTCACTTTGCACTTCATTTAGTTCTCTATCTATATTCCCAACTAGGGATGGCAACGGGGCAGATCGGGGACGGTTTTGTAACTATATTGCATAACCGTACCCGCCCCGTTTGGTAACTCCCCCGCCCCATTACCCAACAGGTAATTTTTACCCAAATCATAACCGCCCCAACGGGTAACGGTTATAACCGCGGGTAACGTACCGCGGGTAATCACTTTATTAAATGAGTCATTGATACTTTAATAAAAAATAATATTTTAAAAGGCGAAAGATGGCATCACCAAGACGACGCTAGACTCAGACGCCACTTTAAAGCTTCATATATCTATAAGACGAGAAATAAGACAACCTAAATTAATTTGAACCTAAAAATACTTAATCTGAAAAGTAATTAATCACAAAAAATCATATATGAAGTAATAATCAAACAAGACTATTAAGTTCTATTGAGAACTTTCATTCTTACACTATAGTTAGTACATCTATTATCCATATATACACACAATGAACATTAAAAATCTCATCTTTTATTAGTTGTAGGACAAATAATGATAAGAATGTAATAAAAATATAACTAAAAATAAACGGGGCGGGTACGGGGTGGGTAATGGGGCGGGCATGCATAAAACCGTAACCGCCCCGTTACCCATAAAAACAAAACGGGTATTCCCCGCCCCGTAACCATTACCCGGTCAATGCGGTTTTCCTCATTTTGACCGGGGCGGTTCGGTGCGGGTATCCATCAGATCGGTCACAATTGTCATCTCTATTCCCAACTTTGCTCAAGCTAAGCAAAGCATGATTGAGTTGTCTAATTATTTCATTCGGATGGATAAGTAATTCATAATTATGAGTGGCTATTTGTGTAATAGCTCATTTTCCTCCTTTGTTATTGTTGCACTCTAACATCAATAGAGGGAATTGAATTATAACCTACTAAAACACTTTAAAAAGTACTGTTTTGAAATTGGGGTTATGTCAAAAAATTAGCTATGGTTTTTTTTTAAGATTATGGCTAGTAAGCATTACACTTAAATTTCTCTTAATTCTTAGCGCCTTTAATTGATAGTGACTTGACGCTCCAGATCTCCACCATAATGACCTCTGCTGCAATGACCTTTCCCACTGTCGTGCAAACCGCAGCGACAGTGACTAGACGATAATGACAGTGACCACTCATTCAGCTAATGATTACCATCGTCCCGACGGTGACCACTACCGCCTCGGCCGATAACCACCCGTGTCCCACCAGTGAGTCAGTGACCATGCCAAACATAGTAACAACTGAAACACAGTGACCACTGTCACGTGATTTGGTTTAGAGTTTGACTGTTTGAGTACGATTTAAAATTCGAGTTTGGTGAGATTAAACTTAATCAAGAATCGAGTCAATTTCAAACAAATTACAAATTGACTTATTCAATTAACACCCTGTCTCGTTCACATAATGTGAAAGTGATTATAATAACTACCAAAAACTGGTATTAGCATTACAATTTAGATGGGAGAACACATAATGACAGCCATTGAGGATGTTTTCTTTTGGACTGAAATTTGCTGGTCTGGTCTGGTCTGGTCTGAACTGGTCTGGTCTGGTAAACGTCTGGTCTCTGTGTATTTTATAACTACGGAAGTCTGGTCTGATCTAGTCTGATCTGGTCTGGGACTGAAAAAGAACCTTCAAGTGCGGAAATGTGAACAAAAAACCAAACACGTCATCGAATTGGATTCAGTGTAATCTGTTCTCGTCCAGTTAAACTACACAGGCGGATAAGGTGACGGTCCTACGTGGCATGATCGGCCACTCTTCCCTCCACATTTCTAGACCTCTTCCGAACTAGACCTCTTCATTTCTCCGACACGAGAACTCAATATCCATGGCTTCTCCCACCATAATCAGCCCCGCCGCCGCCGCCGCCGCCGCCCCTCCTAAACCAATCCTAACCCCAACAAGATTTCAATCAATTTCTGCCGCCTCTCGCAATGCTATTACTTCCAGCCGCCGAGAGTTCATCTCGCTTTCCGCCGGAATATTCTGCTCTAGTACTCTTGCCGCCGCCCTGCCCGCCCGCGCAGCTTCCGACGAGGAGTACGTAAAGGAAACTACGGAGGTGATCGGAAAAGTCAGGTCGACGATGGGGAAAGAAAAGGGGGACCCAGATATAGTAGATGCGGTGGCCGATCTAAGACAGGCCTCGAATTCATGGGTGGCGAAGTACCGGAGGGAGAAGGCACTCCTTGGACGGCCGTCCTTCCGCGACATCTACTCGGCACTGAACGCCGTCTCCGGGCACTACATCAGCTTTGGGCCGACGGCGCCGATTCCGGCGAAGAAGAAGCAGAGGATCTTGGAAGAGGTGGAAACCGCAGAGAAGGCGTTGCAAAGAGGAAGATGATGCTGTTTTTTGGGCATATCTATAATTTTACCTTTGCTCTGTAGATGCTGCGTTTTCTTAAGATTGTCATACTAGCCATGTTTATTCCCAGAAACAGGAAATTCTTGAAAAATCTAAGTTAGTATGGGGTCTATATTCATAAATTGTGGGCGGAATTTGTTTTGAACTGGACTGAATTGAAGAGTTATTATAAAATTCAAAACAACTATAAGGGGTGGTTTAAAGAGAAAATGAAAAAGTTTATATTTTTAACAAGCATAAATTTGACCAACAGTGACCTACATTGTATTCAAATGCACTATGTAGTGAGAGCGAATGCAATGTCCAGGCCTGCAATTGATCTATGATGAGAACCCCTTTCAGTGGAAGCTTGCATTCCAGTTTGTCCAGTAGGTGATATTAGTTGATTCTCTTATTACTTCCCTATCAAAATCAGTCTTGTTCTTTTCCATTATATTAATATAATCTCTTGG